AGTGCTTGACGGGCTGTAAAACACCCTTTCTGAGACAGTTGTAACTTCAAACCACTGTTAATCGAGGACTACCTGTATGTATTTGAGTCCAAAATTTTCTAGCTTTTTATACATCTGCCAAGCTTGATAAAATATCCCTTCTTGTTGTTCACATTTCCAACATGAATTTGAAGTGCCTTTATACATTTTAGACAATTTCTCTGGGAACATGTACCAACAGTACATCATTTTATAAAACTTCTCTTTAAGATTATAACATAGTATAAATTCCAGTCCTTTCCACCACATATTTCCCATTGTTCCATCTGTATATTATAACCAAAATTTTTAGCCCACTTTATCATACATTCTTTCACTTGTTCTTCTTCCGTTTCAATCCAGTCCTTTCCACCACATATTTCCCATTGTTCCATCTGTATATTATAACCAAAATTTTTAGCCCACTTTATCATACATTCTTTCACTTGTTCTTCTTCCGTTTCAAATTTCAATAGAAGTTAATATATTTTAGCAATTACATGTTCATCATTTGTACATAATTCCATTTCAAACTCAGTCTTTCAGTGTTCAAAATCATAAACTTTTGTCTACTTTAAATATTTCTAATAAACTGTAAATAAGAACTACATTGACAAATATATTCCTCTGCTACCAGTTCTTCTCTTAATTTTATTTTACTTTCCCCTTGACAAATTCTAGCATCTTACAATAAGCTTTGTGTTTGCCTATTATTTCTCGTCTATAAAATGCTTCTTGTAGTGAGACCCACAAAGGTATTTTTGGGCACAGCCTGGATTTGTATCTATTCCATATTCTTAATATGGCATGTCTAACATAATAATTTTTAAAATCTACATTAACCTTGACTTTGTCATACCACGATATCCATGCCTCCCAAATCTCAGGTTGTGCTCTTCTAACTCCAAAAGTCTTCTATTTCTCAGCAGCACCCACTTTTTCATCCAAACCAAACAGTAAGCTGCTAAATCCAATTGCAAATCAGGTAAACCCAATCCTCCTCTTTTCTTTGCATCTTGTAACACCTTATATTTAACTCGTGTTTTTTTCCCTGCTACACAAATTTAGATATATCCTTCTGCCACTGTTTAAATGGTGCATCAGTTGTCAAAACAGGTGTTGTCTGAAACAAAAACATTTTAGGCAAAACATTCATTTTTATCACAGAAATTCTTCTTAGCAATGACAATTGTAGTTTCTTCCATCTTAACACGTCTTTTTTAACTTCATTCCATGTCTTAACAGTGATTTTGAAATAACATACAGTTCATATTTGTCACAGTGATACCCAGATATTTTACCTTCTTCTCAATTTTAAACCCATTTTATTCATCAATTTGTTTGATCTTCTGTTTCATATTTTTTGTTAACAACTTTGTCTTCTGTTTGTTGATCTTAAAACCTGCTAATTCACCAATTCTTTTAGTTTTCCCATTAATATTTCAATTCCCTTTACAGGATCTTCCAAAACCAATACCAAGTCATCTGCAAAAGCTCTTAACTTATAAGTTTCTTTTTTAACCTTTACTCCCACAATCCTTTCATCTTGTCTTATATCTCTGTTCAGTATTTCAAGAACCAAAATAAACAAGAAAGGAGACAGTGGGCATCCCTGCCTTGTTCCTTTTTTATCTCACAAGGCTTTGTTAGATCTCCATTAACAATTATTTGTGCTTTCTGTGAAGTGTAAATTGATCTACCCATTTTATAAAGTTCTCTCCAAAGTTCGTATCTTCCAAAACTTTGAACAAGAAAGCCCAATTCAAATTATCAAAGGTCTTATCTGCATCTAAGAAAATTGATGTGGCTTGTTTTTCATTATGCTGCTCCAAATACTCCAAAATGTCCAACACATTTCTAAGATTGTCCTTTAATTGTCTTTTAGGTAAAAACCCGCATTGATCCTCCTGAATAAAGTCTTGCAAAATTATTTCAGCTGGAATCGTTGTGAACAACCTGTCGTCATTATTCAATAATGACATCGGCCTGTAGCTTCTTGTTCAAGTCGCATCTTGTCCCTCTTTAGGCTGTATCGGGCTCTTTCCAGCTCTCTGGCATCTTTCCTCCCTGTAGGACAAAGTTCGTTGTGTTTTGTAAGGGTTGTAAAAATTCATCCTCAAAACATTTCTAATAAGAACCTGGTAATCCATCTGGTCCAGGCACCTTTCCCGGTTTAATCTTTTTTATAGCTTCAGAAACTTCCTGTATTGTTATAATCTGCCTTTATTCCTCTGTAATCCTCAGTAAATGTTGTTTCTGTAGGTGTTCATCTATTTTCTCCAGAGAGATATCACTTCCTTTATACGAATTGGAATAATATTGATGAAAGTTTTTTTT